TTGAAATTACAAATATACAAAAACTGTGACAAAAACACTTAAAAACAATTAAGATTATACTACATAAGAAATTCTTAATAAAATAGGTAAAAAATACGGTGTTATCATGGTGCAACAAGAACAAGTTCTTTTATGCCGATCTACTAATAAAACGAGAAGTGTTATTCCCGATGATTACATAGTGTTTTTTATGGAACAAGAGGAAAATTAAACCCAGTTTTAAGATGATTCTATCAATTTCTGTGAGGCCATGGATGGTTCCAATTCAGATAAGTGGATCAAAAATAGTGAAGAAGGGTATCAAGCAATGCTACACAATAAGGTTTGGAACCCTATCCAACTACTAGAATTATAGAAACCAAGTGGTTGCTTATTTACCAAAGTGGACTCAAGTGGTAATGTGAAGACGGCTAAAAGATATACTCAAAAAGAAAGTATTGACTAAAAGAAACTTTTATTCAGTTTCATCAAAAGAATCTTTTAGGATAATCATAGATTTTGTTTTTCATTATGACTTCAAGCTTCATCAGATGGATATCAAGACATCATTTCTAAATGGAAACATTGAAAAGGCGATTTATATGGAGCAACCAAAAAAACCTTGTACTGGGTGATTAAAAAAAAAGTTGCCTGAAAGTTAAAAAAAAATTCATCTCTGGGCTAAAATAGGCTTCTTGTCAATGGTACCACAAGTTTCATGAGGTAATCACATACTTTGGTTTTGAGGTGAATTTGGTTGAATATTGTGTGTATCAGAAGTTCAATGTGAGTATGTGCATTTTCTTGGTGTTGTATATTGATGACATACTACTAGCCACTAACGATATATAGGCATGTTGCATGAGACCAAAAGATTTCTTAAGAAAACTTTTGAGATGAAAGATCTTGGTGAAGCATCTTTTGTATTAGGGGTCCAGATTTAACAAGATAAAACTTGAGGTATTCTAGGGTTATCACAAAATAGCTATATTGATAAAGTACTAACAAGATTTGGCATGCATGATTGCAAACTAGAAGATACTCTAATTGCTAAGGGAGACAAATTTTATCTCGATCAGTACCCTGAAAGATATTTAGAAATTCAAGAAATGCCTAAGATTCTTTATCCGTTGGGAGTAGGAAGTCTGATGTATGTTCAAGTTTGTACGCGTCAATATTTAGCATACATTGTTGGAGTTTTAGATAGATAAATAAGTAATCCAGGTTTAGACCATTGGATAGCAACCAAAAGGATCATGAAATACCTGAAGAGAACAAAAAATTATATTATGCTCACTTATCAGAGATCAAATAATTTGGAGAATCATTGGGTATTCTGATTCTGATTTTGCTGGATGTCGAGATAGTAGATTTTCTACATTAAGATTATCAAACATCAAATAAGAAATTATCTCAATAAAGTTGGACCAGTTGCAAATCAATATGTATTGATCACCTTCATGTGATTTTCATGCCACACTTATCATAATTTATCTATGGTTGTACTGATTTCAGTGATCATATAAGGTTTTGTCACATTTGTTATAACAAAAAACCGATATGATCTAATGTTGCTAATGTCATTATATCCAAGAGCAGATATGCATATGACCCAATAGGAGATTGTAAGATACATTTTGGGGTTATTATGTATTAATCAGTGTGTTAGAGCCGTTATTTTGGTTTAAAGTCGATGACTAAAAGCATAATGTTAAAAGAAATTATGTGTGAATACATTCAATAATTTCTAATTTGATGAGAAACCAAATAGAAAAATGTTTCTCCACAAATAAAAAGGTTTATAGTCCCCAAAATAACACAGAAATTATCTTGCATCTCATCATCAGAGAACTAAAAATTTTAGGGATAAGCTTTGGAAAATCTAACTCATATCCAGAGTCTGACTATAAATTCATCAGGTACGCTTCCGTTCTTATTATTCTGAGACTAACAGGTTTTACTGATTTATTAAAAAGATGAAACCAACATGCCATCTGTAGATATTTAATATTTTGATGGTCCTTGGTACAACATCAGTTCTGTATCCAATGATACCATGATCCAATAGTGGGGAGTGTATTGTAAGTTGTTGAAATTTTTTCACACTTTTGGTTATTTACGTAAGCATTACTAATTGAGTAACTGTAAATCTTGTTAAATACTGACTTAATGCATGTTTTCTATCTCTTTGCAGCAAGTCTTTTATTGGGACGAGGCACTAAAAGGAGACGTGCATCGCTTGTGGTACCATAATTAGCCAAAAGCAAACTATAGTCTATTGTCTCAACTTGTGACAGACTCAGAGCTATTTGTCTCTAGTTACTACAAACAATTAAAAGCTATTTAGTAAAGTTATTCGTAGCAATTAACCTTCAACATATTTTTGGAAATTCATGAAAAGATGTTTCCGTCCGTTTTGTAACTCATTTGCTATTATTAAGCTGTTGATTGGTTCACCCGCTATCACCCAGTAAACGCAGCATTTGTGGTTGATAGCGGTTAGTAGCGTTTTATAACAATCATACAAATCGCTGTAAACCGCTCTGTATTGTTTTACACCACTGAAATCCAAAAGATGCTTCCGCCAACGTTTGCGGTTGTAGATGGTAGCAGTTGGATAAAATAAAATAAAACATAAAATCATGCTAAAAAATGGAAAATCACGTTAAAACAATTAGAAAATCATAAACCTACTAATCTTTACATTACAGACACAATTTTGGGTAATATTCCCAACAATTGAAATATAATATGTTATTATAAAATTTATTAGTTTTTAAAATAATTATATAGTATTTATTTATAATTTTTTTATTAATTATTTTGAACTAGTAATTTTGATTAAGCATAAAAATATAGTTTTTATGTTTTCTTATAATTATTTTTGATGTTTATTTTGGTAATTTTATGTTTAACTGCTAAAACATTTGTTGGTTCGCCTGTCAAAAATGTCCCGCAAACGGATCCGCCTTAAAAATTTAACCAGTCGTGCAAACTGCTTAATAACGTTCAAAACCATAATTGCCCGCTTCCGCAAACTCCCACATTCACAACCGCAACCGCTGTGTTTAAACCAGTCAGACCCAAATTATTTGCAGAAATTTAATAGCAAAAATATTTCGAGTATGTAACTATGCAAGCTACCTACACAATATTGGGAATCAACTACATAACAAAATGTTGTTAAATATTAAATATTAACTCTTATCTAAATTTTTTTAATCGACATTAAATGTTCAGGGAGATTCTAAATACACATATAGGTGTTGACTGGTTCATCCGCTATCATCCGCAAATGTTGCGTTTGCGGTTGGTAGCGATTAGTGGTGTTTTATAACAATCATAAAAATCGCTGCAAACCGCTCCGTATCGTTTTATACCGTTAAAATCCAAAAGCTGCTTTCCGCCAGCGTTTGCGGTTGCGGACGATAGCGGTTGAGTAAAGAAAATATACGTTAGAAACAATGGAAGATCACGTTAAAAACAATTATTTACAATATTAGTTTGTTATAAATTTTTATTTGTTCTTCAGGAAGTTACATAGTCAGACGAGATGACATATGCGTTATTTCAACAGATCATTGTAGAAAAACAAACTGATAATAAATAACCTAGATTTTTGAGTGCACTCCAGAAAGAACGTATTTTGAAGAATATTACTGAACAATTTGAAGTTGATTTGAGTTGGAGTCATGCAAAAAATCGATTAGATCGATAGAAGAAATTTTATATCATGCATAAGACATCCAAAAGATCCACGTATTGGAGCAAATTTTTCCAGTTTATTATATTACTAGACACAATTTTGGGTGATATTCCCAACTATTAAAATAAAACATATTATTAAAAAGTTTAATAATTTTTTAAATAATTATATAGTATTTATAATTTCTTTATTATTAATTATTTTGAACTAATAATTTTGATATTTAACGTAATAATATAGTTATGTTTTTTAATAATTATATATAATTTTTATTTTAGTTTTATGTTTAACCGCTAAAATCTCTATTGGTTTGCCAGTCAAAAATATTCTGCAAACGAATCACCTAAAAAAGTCTAACCAGTTGTGCAAACCGTTTAACAATGTTCAAAATCGTAATAGTCCGCTTCCGTAAACTCTCGTACTCGCAACCGTAACCGTTGCGTTTAAACCAGTCAAGCCATAGTAGAGAAATTATGAGATAATTACTATTTCTTACGTATTTTAAATCAGAAAACACAAATTTGCAACTATTTGGTACTAACATTTGTTTAACAAAAGTTTTAAATAATCTTTTATCATATAAAATAGCATGGATGTTTTAGGTACATGTTTGGGCCCTTTAATGAAGGCCCACAAAATTGGTCTAGGAGTTTTGACTTCACAAATGACACAACACAGGTAGTATAAAACGGATTTAGAACTCGCATTAAGATATCTGTAGACTTTACATTGGTGAGATAAATGCAACTGTTATTAGTCACTTTCCATGTCGAGAATTTGTGCAAAAAGTTTGTGATACTTTTGACTTGCCCGCATCTACAAGTTTTTCAGTTTTCCATTGCTACGAAGCTACTATTGTTTTATGATTATGATGCCTATAAATGTTTGAAAATTTCTCTCCACATGCTATTATTATTTTTCTCTTCATATTAGAAAGTAAAATGGTCTACTTTTTCAGAAGTATTAACATATGAAGTTTTCCTGGTTAACATGTGTATTCGGTATAAACAAAAAAAAATACTTGGGACCTTGAAGAATAAATGTTTCTTAGATATTTTGTTTCTTGCGTAGACAAAATCTGATTAGATTATATAATCAAGAATCATATTTTAATTGTTTTTCAGACAAAGAAAAGGAAAATGCTAAATAAAAATAAATAAATAAATGAAATATGCAGAAGAAAAACCCACAGAGACTCTGCTTTTAAGACACGGCAAGAAAGTCAACTAGCGAAGCCCAATACAAGGAAAGAGATTATTTTTCATTAAAAAACAAAATATAAAAACAAAAAGAGAAGAAGAAAAGAAAAAACCAAAGAGCAAAAAATTGAAGTCTACTTCGTCGTCGTCTTCCACTAAATTTCTGGTTTTATCGAAGACTTTTGTACAAGTACATTTGCAGACTGTCAATAACCCTTTTGTCACGGTATTACTCCAAGCCGCGTACTGGATAGACTCCAAAATATCCTTTCTTTATGTATTTTGCAATCTGGGTTCTCCGATTTTGAGGTAATTCTCCAGTGGGTTTCTCTCTGATTTTATTAAGGGTCTTCTTTTTTCTTTGGTGTGATTTAGGGTTTCTTGATTCATGAAAAAATTCAAGGTTTTTGATTGTTTTCAGGGTCTTGAAATCGTGAAGAAGCAGAGCTTTTTGCGGAATTATAACATCTGCTTCTCATGGCGAGCTTTTGTTGCTTCGGTTCTTCAGACTACGATGTATGCAAAACTCGAATCTCAGTATCATCTCTCTTTACTCTTCTGTCTCTTCTCCAATTTCTTCACAAATACGACTTATTATTGCATTGACTTGTTAAATTAATTTTTGTAAAGCTTATTATAGACTTAAATCGAACTAGTTTTGTCGGTAAATGTGTAAAGTCTTCGCAAATTTGTTCCGAATTTGTGGGTTTTCATTTGATTGAGGTCAAATTTGGTCATACTGTCTTAAACATGGAGTTTGATGTTCTTCTCTTGAGTCATGTATACAATATGTTTGATATAATTATGTGTTAAATCAATTTCTAGCTCGTGGTTGGAAGGGCGTCTAGTAGTTCTGGTAAAGGAAAAAACAGCGAAGGCGAGATTAAGTTTGGTTACAGCTTAGTGAAAGGGAAAGCCAATCATCCAATGGAAGATTACTACGTCTCCAAATTCACGAAAATAGACGGTAACGAGCTCGGTTTGTTTGCTATCTACGATGGTCATTTGGGTGAACGTGTTCCTGCTTATCTACAAAAGCATTTGTTCTCCAACATTCTCAAAGAGGTCTGCAAAAACTCTCCACCATTTTAGGCTGTTGTCTCTCTTTTTAACAGTCTTTTATGATCTAAACCGGTTTTTGTGTGTGTGCGTGTGTGATCAGGAGCAGTTTTGGTATGATCCTCACAGAGCAATAATTGCTGCATATGAGAAGACAGACCAAGCCATTCTGTCACATTCTGACCTTGGCCGTGGTGGTTCAACCGCTGTAACCGCTATTCTGTTGAATGGACGGCGTTTGTGGGTGGCAAATGTGGGTGATTCCAGGGCGGTTCTATCTCAAGGAGGTCAGGCAATACAGATGACTATAGATCACGAGCCACACACTGAAAGATTGAGCATCGAGGATAGAGGAGGCTTTGTATCAAACATGCCAGGTTAGTTACTCTTAGATACTATTAACACCAAAATCAAGACAAAATATCATAACCTCAGATCCCAAAACAAGTTCTTGTTTTCTCTTTCAGGGGATGTCCCTCGAGTCAACGGGCAGCTAGCAGTTTCTCGTGCTTTTGGAGACAAAAGCCTGAAAACACATCTACGGTCAGATCCAGACGTTAAAGATTCATCGATAGATGATCACACAGATGTTCTTGTTCTTGCTAGTGACGGTCTATGGAAGGTAAAAACAACTTTTGTTTTCTTTCATTTGAAGTGAAGGAGTGATTGGTTGTTTTGCGTTATGTTTTTATGTGTAAATGGTATAGGTGATGGCTAACCAAGAGGCGATTGATATCGCGAGAAGAATCAAAGATCCATTGAAAGCAGCTAAAGAACTAACAACCGAAGCACTGAGAAGAGACAGCAAAGATGATATATCTTGCATTGTCGTCAGATTAAGGTGATGAAAGATGTTTTAAAACCACCAAGGAAAAAACAAGGATGAAACAATTTAGAAATGGAAGAAACTAAATAAATAAGTTTGATTATATAAAGAGTAGTAGAAGATGATGTAAAAGGTTTTTCAAAATCTTTTCTTTCTTGTTATTATTATTTTTTTTTCTTCCGCTGTAAAATTGGTTGATCGGTTTGCCGGATGTTTTGTAATTTGATTGGTTTGATTTGTGGTTTGTGTAAGTGAAAGTGAGAATCATATGATTTGGTGTATAAAAACAGCTTATCTTCTGCTTTGATCTGAGAATATTTACTACAAGTGAGGGAGAGTATATCTATAATCTCTGTGTGCTTCTTCTGATCTCTGCTCTAGCATAGTCTTCATGTTCTCTGAAGTTACAATTTTTTTGGGGTTTTTATTATATGATAAAATATAGCCTGAAATTCTAAAAAATTGACCCTTTATTTGGCAGTAACTAGTAGAGGATTGAGTAATGCAACTTTTTCTATACATTAAATATGTAAACTACTAGATTATAAAAAATAAAAAAAATTCAACACTATCCCTGTAGAATATATTGATGTTAATTATTTCATAAATTATCATTCACATCTCAAAAACAATATACACTTTGATCTCATTTTAGGTTTTTATGATGTTTTTCCCTGTAGTGTTTTTTTTTTTTTTTGTTAATCACGAAGTTCGAACCGGAGACTAGATCCAAAGACTACAAAAGTGGGTTGAATAAAATTCATCTAAAAAAGAGCAAATTTAAGGAACGTATTCTTCTAATGGCTTGCAAGAAAACGAGTCAAATTGGGATTATTCATAGTCCTTTTATTACTACAGTCAACTATTTCTCATTCATATTTATTCCACTGAATTTTTAGTAGCCACCATTTGCAATGAGTTATCACTATCTCTTGCCATTTCAATGAGAAGGAAAATCAATTGGCAAACGACAGAGTTGAGAGAGGTTTCAATGTCAAGACAACAAGTGACGACACATAAGTTTCGTTTCAATGTCGAAAACAAAAAATATCCAAAAGAAAAGAGAGAGTAACAAATGATAGAATATTATCGCCAACTCAAGACCCTCTAGCAAGAACAGAAGCTTTAAACCGTTTGGTGCCAAAGGGAGTGTAATGGCTTCATTAATCCTGCAGAGATCAAATATTAAGGAAAAATGTAGAGAAAAAGAAAAAGAAAGATACTAGGGAAAGTGTAAAAGCTTTTCTCAGATTTGCTTACCTCCTCTTGTGGCTTGTCCCCTTTAGACTGTTCACCTACAAAAGACAAAAAAGGTACATGAAAAGCATTCAATGCAAGAGTACAATAGTTTTTACAATAAAGTCTACTAAGAAGTGGTTATGTCTCGTGTGTTGTTATTATTTTCATTACCTCCTTCCTCTAGATCAGAGGTCCATAAAGTAAGATTATCTCTGAGAAGCTGCATGATAAGTGTGCTGTCTTTGTAAGAGTCTTCATTAAGACTATCCAGCTCAGCGATTGCTTCATCAAACGCTTGCTTCGCCAAATGACACGCCCTAGTGGATTCAATAAAATTTCATTCAATAATCGCCACAAAACATGTCAGAAGTATATACAAAGTCTAGCTCACGGATTTACCGTTCTGGAGAGTTCAAGATCTCGTAGTAGAAGACCGAGAAGTTGAGAGCTAAACCGAGTCTTATCGGATGAGTAGGACCCAACTCCGAGCTAGCTGTACTCGTTGCAGCCTATACAAAACAACATAATTCTCAACTTTCTTGCCATTACTGGAATTGATCGAGAGAGAAGAAATGGTGAAACATACTTCATAAGCCTTGAGTGATTGATTAGCAGCTTCATCACGATCAGGACCAAACTTAAACTCAGCCAAGTATCTGAAATAGTCTCCTTTCCTATCAAACAACAAAGATCCAAGATTAATCTATATTTACACTCTTTGATTAGATTTAAAAGTTCATAAATGATGGACTAACATCTTGTAGTAGAAAACAGTGGATTCGCCTGAAGTTGCGGATGGGACAAGATGCTTATCGATGACAGCTAAAATGTCGTAGCAGATCTTAGAGAGCTCATCTTCAACCTTTGTCCTGTAATCTTTGATCCTCTTTGCGTTTTGTTCGTTTCCTCTAGATTCTTCTTTCTGCTCAATAGAAGAGAGTATCCTCCACGAAGCTCTCCTTGCACCAATCACGTTCTTATAACCAACAGATAACAAGTTCCTTTCTTCAATTGTGAGTTCTACATCAAGAGCTGCAACTTTCTTCATTGCTTCAACCATCTCTGCATAAACAGAAATGATTCGATCGAAATTGAATTTTAAAATTGTAAAGCATAATCCCAATTTGTTCTAATTACCAAATCATGAGGTTTGTTTCTGAGGGCTTCACATTTAGAGACATTTTGTCACGCGATTAAGAACATCCAAAATTCACAAATCCCTAAATTGAGAAGTCCTAACTGATCGGAAAAAGTAGCAAAACTACTGACTTACTTAGATTATTTCCAAAAACCAAACCCAAATCAATGCAGAGAACACAAGTAACCGTGAAAAAATTTTCGAATCCGTAATATTTTCCAACAGAATTATGAAACGGAGATCTAATGGAACAGAGTTCGAAGATTACAGAACAGAAACACACGAGGGAGGCTTTTTTTTTTTACCATCGTATCTCTCGGCTTGTTCGTTTAGTTTCGCCAAATACACTTGCTTCTCTCTCTCCTTCTCCATAGCTTCTCTAGCTCTCTCTCTATTTCTCTTCTCGCTCTCTTCTCTCTCCAAATTAGTCTTCGTTCTGATAATCTGATCAGAAAGTCTTGTCACGATTATAAAAGAAATTTGGCGGTTGGGTTTCAGACAGGAGAAAGCTTAATCAACGGCTGAGAATAAGCCAAGGATAGTGGAAAGCCTTAATTACTGATAATGACGAAATCTTAACCGTCAGATTAGTGGTCCCCATTTCATTGGCTTAATGTCGTGCGAATCATAATTGTCCCCACTCCTCCCCCCCCCCACACTTGAAACCTTCTACATGAATTAGAGACTACTTCGCTTCTACTAGACCAGAACATTCTGATACTCTGATCCGGATGCAGATGCAGATGCGAATGCGGATCCGGATGCAGATGCAGATGCGAATGCGGATGCGGATGCGGATGCAGATGCGAATGCGGATGCGGATGCGGATGCAGATGCGGATGCAGATGCGGATGCAGATGCGAATGCGGATGCGGATGCGGATGCAGATGCGGATGCAGATGCGAATGCGGATGCGGATGCGGATACGGATGCGGATGCGGATGCGGATACGGATGCGGATACGGATGCGGATACGGATGCGGATACGGATGCGGATACGGAGATGCGGATACGGATACGGATGCGGATACGGAGATGCGGATGGGGATTCTGATTTGATTTTTTGGAGGGTAAAATATATAACTTATATTACCTGAGTTTTGATAGAATCATATTTACTAGGGATTAACCCGCGCTATAGCGCGGGAGATATATTTTCAATCTTTAATTAATTTAAATAATTTTATGAAAACAGTTATTTTGTAAAAACAGTTATTGTTATAAAGTTTACAATAATATAGTGCATATTTTGTGAATTTTAAATAATGAGTTAATCTGTATATATATATATATATTTTTTTTTTTTGAATTATAAAAAATGAGTTAATCCGTATATAAAGTTATTTTATAAGCGTATAAAGCAAAATAAGTTGTTTTAAACCCGTTGACACTAAACTAAAATATTATTTAGGCTAATATATAAAAATTATAATATTATAATCATCAACTCTAATTTGCATCGTTTAATAATTGACATTTATAATCTGTTCACAAACTATAAAAATTTAATTTTATCTTTTTAACTATATATGAAAATAATATAAGATTCTTTACACTTAGGTTTGATATATAATAAATAAATATATAACAAATTATATTTAATTTAAAAAATATATATAATTTAATAGATTGAATATATTACCTATTTTTAAAAAATTAATATTTTGAATTTCAAGATTTTTTTGTGGGTATTAAAAAATTAAAATTATAATCTGTTCATATCGAACTAATCCGTTTACTTAACATGTTTGTATTAGATTAAATTTAATAATTAATTATAATATTCAACGTTCAATAACTCTCATATCACCACAAACATTTTTTATTTAAAATTAATTTTTCATATCAAATTTTTAGTAAAATAACTAAAAAGTATTTTGTATATAATCAATCATATGTAACAAATTATTGAAATAAAAATACTTCACCACTTTTTTAATTTCATAACTTTTAATTTTGACTTTTATAATATTTCTAAATTCAAAAATTTATTTTCACATTTTTTAATTAAATATACTTTATAATATCATTTGAAAATAAAAATAATAAAAACTATCTTATTTTTGAATTTAGAAATTAAATAATAAATATACTCTATTAAATAACAAATAAAGACTTTCCATATTTTTAGCAATAGAGTTTAATTAAATATACTTTATAATATCATTTGAAAATAAAAATAATAAAAACTATCATATTTTTGTGAATTTTAAATAATGAGTTAATCTGTATATATATATATATATTTTATTTGAATTATAAAAAATGAGTTAATCCGTATATGAAGTTATTTTATAAGCGTGTAAAGCAAAATAAGTTGTTTTAACCCGTTGGCACTAAATTAAAATATTGTTTAGGCTAATATATAAAAATTATAATATTATAATCATCAACTCTAATTTGCATCGTTTAATAATTGACATTTATAATCTGTTCACAAACTATAAAAATTTAATTTTATCTTTTTTACTATATATGAAAATAATATAGTATTCTTTACACTTAGGTTTGATATATAATAAATAAATATATAACAAAATTATATTTAATTTAAAAAATATATATAATTTAGTAGATTGAATATATTACCTATTTTTAAAAAATTAATATTTTGAATTTCGAGATTTGTTTTGTGGGTATTAAAAATTTAAAATTATAATTTGTTCATATCGAACTAACCCGTTTACTTAACATGTTTGTTTTAGATTAAATTTAATAATTAATTATAATATTCAACGTTCAATAACTCTTATATCACCACAAACATTTTTTATTTAAAATTAATTTTTCATATCAAATTTTTAATAAAATAACTAAAAATTATTTTTGTATATAATCAATCAAATGTAGCAAATTATTGAAATAAAAATACTTCACCACTTTTTTAATTTCATAACTTTTAATTTTGACTTTTATAATATTTCTAAATTCAAAAATTTATTTTCACGTTTTTTAGTTAAATATACTTTATAATATCATTTGAAAATAAAAATAATAAAAACTATCTTATTTTTGAATTTAGAAATTAAATAATAAATATACTCTATTAAATGAGAAATAAAGACTTTCCATATTTTTAGCAATAGAGTTAAAAGACAACTATATCCTTTCCTATATTAATTATTCTTTGTTATTTATAATGGCATATCATGTAATATTTTACAAAATAAATGTTATATTTTAAAATGTCTTCTCAAATAATAATATAGAGATATAAAAAAAGAGTTTCAATCTTTTTTTTTGAACCATTTGGTATTTTTTAAAAAAAAATATCTAATTAAATTACAAATTAAATGTAATTAAGAGTCTATTTCTATTCTTCTAAACAAAAAGTAAACTATAAAATACAGTTTTCTTAATTAACTAATTGAAAATTAATTGCTGGAAAAAAACTGAAAAAATGTTTTTTTTTTTAAAAAGAATCATCACCACACCTATGTGAGAAAAGCTTTACATATTGGATGGAGCACGATGTCAAAGGTTGTTTTAAGCTACTATGAAATCTTGGAGTCCAAGAAGAAATAAATGGAAGTGAAGAAAAAAAATGACATAAGCTATAAATGGTGACTAAGGGCTGGACTGGTTCATCCGCAGCGGTTGCGACTGCGGTTGCGGGAGTTTGCGGAAGCGGGCGATTGCGGTTATTAGCGTTAATGAGCGTTTTGTACGACTGGTATAGCGGTTGAAAACTGTTGCGTTTGAGGGATATTTTTGACTGGTTGACAGCAAGTGTAAGAGCGGTTTGATATTAAAACAATAAAATACATACAATATATCATTTATATAAAACCCAGAAATTATATATAAAAATATGTAAAGTTAATATTTCAAGACCAAAAACTAAATCATATAATAAATAGTTAAATAAATATTTTTAAGAGTTTAAAACAATTTTCTGTATAAAAAAAATAATTGTATAGACAGATATATATATTTAACTAATATGTATATATTGTATATTATCAAATGAAAAAATAAAATATAAAGTTTTAAAAGGTTTGAATTTTTTTATAAAATATATATAGTTACATATATAAATTTTAGTTGATAAATGATATATATATTAAGAATAAGAATTAATATAAAAATTATTGATACGAGAAAATAAAAAAATTTCTTAACTTTTTTCAATTTTATAAATTTTCTTATTTTTTATTAATTTTTAAGATAATTTATTTTATATTTTGAAAAAAAAAATCTGAAACCACCTGCCACCGCCCGCAACCGCAAACGCTTGCGGGAAGCAGCTTTTGATTTTGAGCGGTACGTAGCGGTTCAGAGCGGTAGAAAGCGGTTACGATGATTGTTACTAAACGCTACAACCCGTTACAACCCGCTACCATCCGCAAACGCAGCTTTTGCAGGAGATAGCGGGTGAACCAATCAACACAGACGATGTGAAATTTGAAGTGGTATTATGAAAACCACTATTGTAACACCAATCAAGAAAAATTTGTAAGAAAGTCCGGTTTTGAAAAAAAAAAATCATTCGAGGATTTTAAGATAGTTAAATATTGTCCAGCAGATATTGAACCACATTCAAAATGTCACCGCGGTTATTATACATCGATCGGATGAAAAACGCACATAATATTTTTTTTTGGAAAAAATCTTAATTGTCAATAATAAATAAAATATATAAATAGAGTATGTCTAATACATTATAGCATATGCATTCATGTAAAAGTAAAAACTTAACTCTTTTCCTTTTTGAAAATCAAGTAAGCTTTTATATAAGAATTAGCTTATAGAAATTTTAAAATAATTAATTTTGCATATTAATAAAGTAAAAATATGTTTTCTATACTTTTATAAGCAATTTTTTATTAAGAAAATATATTCTACATTCATTTATTATTCATATTTTTATATATATGTTAAAAAAATAAATCTTTATTTTAAAATATATTTATAATTTAAAGTTCATAAATATATTGAAAATGTTTTTTTATCAATACAAAATGAAAATTTTAACTACAATTATATTAATTATTTATATATATATTTATCATCTATAATTTATTATCCGTACCGCTTGTGCCTTATTCACCATTCAAACATTTTATTGTGTACCGCAAGTCATTTTTTTGCCAATACAAATATTATTTTGTACATATTATTCTTCACTAACCGTATTTGTCCCATAAATATATTTCTTCTGCACATACCACAATTGAATCGCACCGCACTCTTAATCCACTTTTTCGCACCACCAAATACATTGTTACCATTTAAAACTTTAAGAGTCTGCAATTTTGGAGTCCAAGATATTACTAAGAAGCAAGTAACAGTACTCACTTATCTAAATGATTTGAGATGAAAGCTGAGTTTGATAAGGTAAACCTTCAACCCAGTTTTAACTGGTGCTTAATGTTTTCTTGTATTTGATATATGTAGGATGATGATGGCTTTATCAACTACAATCAAAGTACTGAGAATACAAATAAGTTGGAAGTTGTATTATTGGTTTCATATATAACGAGATTACATTCGAAAGTGTGAACAGATATGTTTAATCCTGGG